CACAGGGCAGGGGCCACCCTGCAGCCCTGACCCGTGAGCCCACCTTCTCATGCCTTGCTCCTGAACACCGCTCCCTGCCCACCTGCAGCCTCATCCCATGTAGGTAGTTTTAATGAGTTGTTGTGATGGAGGGGGACAGGATGGGGGATTCTGACCCAGCCCACAACAAGTCATCAAAACTCCCTGTGTGGCCCCTGGGCCCAAATAATTGCCCACCCCGATGCACCCTTGCTAGGTAATGATTTCAAAAGTCATAATCATATCTATTTTTGTATTATTTGTGTGGTGTTGAATAAGAAGAGAAATTTGATTTTTTATTTAAACATCTCCAGGAGTCACAAATGTAATGATTACCCACCAATAATCTTAGTACTTAGTCCATTTTCTATACTTTGTAATCTGGACATGCCCATTAGGTGCCTATTTTCTTGGATTGTAAAGCCCTCGAAGCACCTATACCTGGGTTTCTGCACATATATTTTCTATACTTTGTTATACTTCCGTCAGACCTGCCTATTTTGGGTCCCTAACATAGTTATAGGTTCCTCCCAATACAACATGTTCCTCTTTAAATTTTTCAGAAGTTTGAGAAAGTTTTCTTAGGAAAAAAAAAAAAGAGACATTCAGTACAGATTAGGTGCCTAGATTTACTTTCTATCCCCGGTAGTTCCTGTAACAAGTGATATCTCTGCCTTTCTTATCCCTTTATTTTTCCTTAAACTCATGGTGTATGCTTTGCGTTGATAATTGCAACTTCTCTTTTATTTGATTTACCTGGAGAACTATATGGAGAGTGGAGCCACTTTCCTTACTGTATTACTCAGATATGAGATGAGGGTTTTTTCCCCATTGGCAAGAGGGGAAAAAAAGCCCCTCATTTTATGATCAGATGCAAGGACATTTCACTAAATACATTGTCTGTCATTAAACTGCTGCCAAAAGCAGCTTGTGCTCAGCAATGGAGCCAACACTGACTATGGCTATAAAAGACAAGGCTCATATTGGGCAAACATGCTGATGGGAACTTTTTTTTCTACAGATTTTATTAAAAACACACTTATCTTGCATATACAAAGCTACACATATTGAACATTCTTGTTTTACCAAGACTTCATAGCACAGGAATAACTACATATCAAAAGCATACAGCTACATGTATTAAATCCTTAAACAACATACATAAACTTTCCACAAAAACCAAACCCTTACAGAAAATTTCTTATTCATACAGAACCCCATGAAAAAAACTGTTAGCTCAGTAACCACCTGAAATTCTCTGCCCCTCTCATCAGTTGTCTCTGTTGGTTTGATGAAACAAGTGTGTCCAGTCCTTTTTCCTCCACTTCTCCTCTGCCTCTTACTCTCTGATATCTTCGTTATCCTGATTGATGTAGTATTTTGGTGCGTTCAGCCCCAGCTCAGGCACACTCTTTTCAGTGAAAGTCAACCCCTTAAAGACCCAGAGGTTTCTTACTTTCTATAAACTAGTTTGAACACATGATAATAAAGTCCTTAAAAACATTTCCTCTGGTCCTTTTGGTATGAGTCCATATAGTACTACCTCCTGCACTAATGACAGGTTTATTTTGGTGACACTCAGAAAACGGCA